ACCCGGTACGAGTTTTAAACCCAAAGGAATTCATACATATAAAAAGACTTAATGTAGGTACCTTAAGTTAACAGAAAAAAAAACCGGTGCGAGTTGGTAAACGATAACTCATGTGCGGGCTAATAGAGAAATCGATCAAATCCGGACAAACACTACCAGTGCTCGTTAATAATCATAATAATAATAATAATAATAATATACTTATGGGTTGTTACACAGGAAAACGAAGATTAATAGGAATACGAGAATGTAGAATAAAGCCTGAAAATATATATTATATATAAATGTTTAAATATATATCATTAGACCTCCAAGAAAGCCTGGAACATTAAGAACGTGTTCGGTTTTAAAAGAAGGGGGCGGCCCTCGCATGTATCGAAAAAGGATCGAAAATTGATTTTACAAAAGTTTCTCGTCTCTCCCTCTATATTAATATCTTAGAGGTGTGTGCAGACACACGTGTATGTATGTGTGTGTGTGCATTTTGAAGATTTATATTCTATTAACAATACAAGATTTTCGTAACGGTAATAATAATATTATTAATCCTTTAATGTATCCTGTATGGATAAATGGATTACTCCAGACACAGTTATTATTGTTATTATTTTTACGACCCAACTAAATCATAAACAAGGCAAATATCTGTAACAAATACTTAAAGTATTTAATATTCTCTTGTAATAATGTCTATTAAATACTGCGGTTGTTATAAAGATCTGTTTCTATATTGGTTCATATTGTTTTATATTACACGTATATTACACAATTTATAAGAGGACAGCACACATTTTGTACTGACAAGTATGAAATTAATGTTTTTAATTATTTATATGTCTCGCTTAGGTTATTTAATGATGTATACTTGATTGAATAATACAGTTAAATGAACTCAATACGAACATTTCTGGTTGAAAAAATGTATTTTTATTTCTTCTATTTAAAATTAAATTAATTTTCTGTGAATAAATTTGTTAAAAAAAAAACTCAATCAAGATAAGCCGTTTGAGTTTTTAATACTTTATTTTAAGCACAAGATTTATTTTTACAATTTAATCCTTACATTTTGTTTATACACGTAAACTTTATTTATTGTTTAACTCCTCTTATACAAATAAACAATTTTTTTCTCATTTAAACGATAAAAATCTAAGTTACACATTAAAAATATATTCTTGGGTGGGTACCCAATTAGAAAAACTCAGAACTTAAAAATTAACATTCACTGTACCTAGCTATTAAATTGGGTATGCTCTATATCTTAAGTAAAAAGTACATAAATAGAAAAACTTAACAATACAAACGCATTAAAGGTATTTCTGTCTACAAAAAGAAAATCATTTAAATTGAGTATAAAATTATCTCATTAATTGTTATTCCTTTCATAAATACTAGATTTTAAATATTAAGTCACTCATCCAAGCTATACCCGGCTTTGGATCATTATGCGAAAGTGATAAATAGAAAAAGCCTTTTCAAACACATACAATTTTATTTAAATATAATAAAAAATAATTTTAATTACCACATTGCACTTAGTAATTTTAAAACATTTCCAAATATTAAATATTAATATTAACGATAGTTTATAACTTATAGGTATAATAATATATAACCTATGTATATTAATATTCTAACAATATGTTAATTAGAAAATGTACAAAAAAATAAGTATGTTACTTAATTTTATAAATAAATTATATGGAAGGACAATGTTCACAAACTAATTATCATTATTCAGTCATAAATTTCGTTATTCGTCTAAGTAGAAACCACATTTATAGAAGCATAAAACACGATTTTAGATTATTCTTTGTAATATATTGTACCAACCTATCACACACCAGACCATTAAAGTACTGTATAGAACAGGTAAATGAAACTTGTTTTTTTTTTTATTTTACTATATATTATCAAAAAAGTGTTTTAGCTTTTAGGTTTAAAACGTCAAACTCGTATTTCAAAACGTGGTATTGATTTTACGCCTGTCATTGGATTTTATGTGTAAAGTAAATAATAATTAATAAGGCCGCAGTAGACGATGTTTGGAAAATATTTCTGACGGTCAAATATGTATGTTTTAACTGACAAATTTCATTAAAATGGTAAAGAACAAAACAAAATAAAAGGATTTTATTAGATAACAAAAATCTCAATAAAATGTTAATTCAAATATGAATTCTCAAGTCGTATAGAATTTATTGATCTCCCGTCATTACGCATAACAATCGCTTGTATTCAATTAGTATGACACCTGTGTGGAGCGACGATTATACACAGCACGTGTGTATAATTCAAATTTTTTTATTGTATAATTAAACGTACTTATACCATATTTCGGCATTTCCGACTTACACGTAATAAAAATAGTAATAAATATATCGGTTGTTGATTTTCGATGGCCCAGTACACAATCACGTACTCATAGTTTCCGGTTGACCATTATAACTTTGGGTTTGATTTATAAATTATCACCCCCCCCAGCAATAATCACAGTTGGGAGGGCCAGCGGAACACGGGACGTCGTGAGTTTATAAACGTGTATAATAATAACGTGCAACTACTCATAAATAATGTAAATTGTCCAATAAAATAATAAAATAGCTATAACGTTACAATATAAATCGATCGGAATTATAAAAATATAGTATTGGAATGCATAGCTTTCTGAAAGTGAAGGTGTGATCATATAATAATTGCAATGTTGTAACGCGCAATAATGCGATTGTAAAATCTATACAATGTAAAGAAAATATTTTTTAAACCATTAGGTATAATGTAATATAATATATTGTATGAAAGCCTCGCCCAAGACACTTAAAATTTGAACTAAATACGAGTCTGAGTATGATTTTTGTCATAAAACGTGTCAAGCAGAAGCTTTTGAATCAAATGTCTGTATGCCATATATATCCATCCAAAAGAAAATTATAATTTAAATACTATATCATATTTTACTATGATATTTTACCATTAAGTCGACGTGAAAGTTAAAATTTAAAATATTATCTAAAAATTAACCGGCATATAAATAATGCAATTCGGGCAATTTTTTTAAATTATAATTAAATTTTTAATTAAACTTAATATTATTCTTATATTAATGAAATACTAATTAATCTTAATTCTTATAATACTAGGTATACCGTATGCGTATATTAATTTTATTAAAATATGTGGTAGGTAGGTAGTATTAATACATATTGTGTCAAACCACATTTGTTGAAAAAAACATATATTCCCTGTGCGCCTAACGTGAATTCTACTTTGAATACCATATATTATTATCAAGGGTCGATACACCGCAGAAATGGGTTCTAAACACGAAATCACTATACATATCAAACCCTTATTTTTTTCATTATCTTATCCGCAAAAAAGACCATCGCGTATTGCTGCACACTGAAAAGCACCCACATCCCCCACGTCGTGCAAGTCGAAGTCTTTTCTCTTCATGGTCATCGAACACAATTTTTCAGTCCGTTGTACATTGAACAATAGATCGTACTCTCTCGGAAATTTGTTCTTTATTTTTATGTTTTATTTTTATCTCGGAGATTCATATAGGGTGGCAAAAAATCAGTTTACAACGCGACGTATATAATAATATGTAAATGTAAAACGTCATCTTTTCCTCACAGAAATAACACGCAAGTCTACATCGATGAAATATGAATACGAGTACTTTGTTGTATAATACCACACACATTATTATGTGAACATCCTTAATCTGTATAGATTCCCATTGAAAAAAAAAACAAATCAGCAATATATTATATATTTTATCTGGTATCGTACAAACAACTGTGTATTGTTGGTATTAAAAATGTAATGCGCCCAAAGAACAAAAATAATAAATAACATTTAAACTGTGTAGACTGTATATAGTTACATGTATAAAATAAAATTGTTTTGAAGTAGAGTCGAATGTTAAAAAATTTAATTTTATACATATAAGTTTAGATGATGACTGTCAGGAAAACTTTAAAAATAATAAAAATAAAAAAAAATAAAAAGACCGTCCGGTATAGGCCGATAAAAAACTTCAAAGCAAAATATTAATTTTTATCGATATATAGAGTGTGTACTAATATATAATATTATAAAACCATTATAATAATATATTATTATTATTTGAATGTATTTATTAAATAATATATTGTTAAATTTTATTTTAATTATTTAATATTCTAACATCTTATGAAAATTATTATACCTTAAATATCTTTAAGCAGCCTAAAGTCGTTTTAATGTTTATATATGAATTCAATCTTTAAATGTGTTAAAAAGATTTAAGATAATATAAATATTATAGGTATGTCTAACAAGAACAAAAGTTATTCCTATGCAAGGTTTATAAGCCTCATGAAAATAATTATTCAAGTATCTACTTAGTAAAGATGACGGAGGAAAAAGAATCAAAACTATTTACCCAACCATTATCGTTCTACTCATAAAAAAATAAACAACTCTTTTACACGAAAAAATATTTAAAACTATATTTCAATGGTACCTAACACCTAATTACGAACATGAATTGCGTTAACAACCGCGTTAACCCAATTATTATAATAACACATAAAACATGTTAGAATCCATACCTACAGTGATATTATTATAATATCAAAGGTGTAACACTCTTCGAACAATAACGTTTGATGATTGCTTCAAAAGTAAAATCTAATAACAAAATAATTACTCAATACGATAAAAATGACCCAACATTAAAACAATATTCGATGTTTGGTGTATGCATGGTTGAAACCATTAATCAACACGACGCACTGACATCCTGTTTACAGGACTAAATTACTAATACAAATCACTTCAGGATCGTTTTCGAGGATACGATAACATGCATCGCGATTGATACGATATATCAACAGACACGAAATGCATATAAATAAACGGAACACATACCTATATACACATTAGGTATTTTTTTTTTTAATTTAATAATAAATTGTATATGTAGATATATTATTATTATACACACTCACCTTGGACGTTGACGAGTACAAGCAGTAACGTAAACATGGCCACAGGTCCGGGCCGGTTTTTACCCTGACCACACATGGTTCTACCGAACGGGTGTATATACTCTTCGTGTCCGGTCCACTTGGTTTTTTACATCATACGCGAGAGTCCCTTCCACTACTAGGTCACACGCATGAATAAAACGAGCTGGCAGTGCTCACTCGGATCCTGTGAACAATGAAAAACGTGTATATATTGTAGACAGCGTATAAACAACAATATGTACAATGTAGTAGGTACCTTTACAGTATTAATTATTATGCAACGTAATAACGCAGCGTTACAGTAGTGGCTGGTAGGTACATCATATTATTATTATTATATTATTATTGTGCCAACTAACTATTAAATTATATATATGTACTGAATATTGTACTGTCTATCCCATTGTTTCCGTGAATTTAATTATTATACAATATATAATATTATCGTCTATCGATTATTGTTAGAACATATGCTACTAATTAAAACAACATTATACAAAAACATTTATTCCCCAAAATCACCATAGGTTTGCATATTTTGAGATAAAATAAACACTAAAACATAAAATAGAAATGTTTTTAATATTTGGATTTAATTCAACATTAAGCGGCGATTACAACTCTGAATCCATTTGTGTAAATCAACTCCTCGGCCACTCTAACACACGAGTACCATAATAAGTGTTATGTAAATTTGTGATTCTCACATAATTATTTTAAATTTTGAACTGTCCGTAATTAACACTATCATTTTTATACATAATACAAGAACAGTAAAGATTTGAAATTTTCAAAATTATTTTTTTCTAATTGAACAATGACTAACTAAAAACTCACTAAGTTTTTATAACATATATATTGTATGAGCTATTTATCAGATTAATTACTTCTTTCTCATTCTTCAGAGAGTTCATGGTCGGCTGAATTTAAACTTATGTTCAAATATTGATAAAACAAATTAAATTTTTTTTTTAATTGACTTTTGTCTTCTATAACAATTAGGTTTCACATTTTTTTATTTATACTTCATTTTTTTCTCGACACTACAATACTATTATAATTAAAATGAGATTTTTTTTTACCAGTTTTGTATACGTATTTAAATTTAAATCGAATATTAGGGTTCACGAATTATTAATATTTTAATTAAGTACAATATTACTTAACATTAATCAAAAAATATATATGGATATATTAAGATTTGCTCATACAATACAAGATATTTTAACGATAATATATATTATAATAATTTGAGTTTGTTTCCAATTGCTTTTTCTTAAGACTTAAACGGGTGCAAAATATGTGGTGATTATTTTATCCACAAATTGGAATATATTGAAGTTAGCACTATCATATTATTATTCTCACTATGTAAACAAAAATGTATATCCAGTGGAAATTAACTTGGTACGCTTCTGTTTGTTTTTTTCAATGACGGCGAGTGAAAACCACAATGGACAATAGAGTCAAGTGGTCAAGAATATTCTAATAGCTTCCACTAACGGTTATTTTTCCTCTCGTTTTTTTTCTTTCGGGGTCAAGTAGTCCTTCTTTATTATACACACATATATATTTATATTATATATATATATATATATACATAACGCACAACCCTACTCGAAATGTTCCTCTATATAGTAGACATATGGAGGGTTTTATTATACACATATATATAATAAGGAGGTCGAGACTGAATAAGAATCAATTAGCAGCCGTAAAACACGTTTCTGTACTTAGCCCTCGTGGTAAATCGACCGAACTGGGTCGAAGACGTTTACCAGACACCGACGTATCCATATGTCTCCCATCGATGGCGGTCAAGTCTATGTCAAAGTGTCAAACTGTAGAAACTGGCTTTGTACAACACTTAGAAACCCCGCAGTCAAGTACCTGAATGATTCGAACCGAAAAATATGGGTACAAACATTTTTTGAATATAAATGTAAATGACTCGATAAAATATACACGGGGTGCATTTTTATTCCCAATATAAACGTCTTTATAAGTTTTGTTAGTTCGAGACTGTATTGTATACAGACATATTATATTCTGTTTTTAATGTATAATTATTTTGTTCCATACTTTGCGTTTAATAACTCTACATCATATTACATTAAAATAATACGTAGGTAATTTATGGAATTTATTTTCAAAAAAATAAAAATATTTGCGTATTATAATGGAACAGTTATTCAAGTGAACACTAAAAATATTTAGTAGCTTTAAAAAAATATAGTATATTGCAAGACATAGATAACACTATAATACTATAGGAGTACAAAAAAACATAACGTTTGCTGCACAATAATTCGTATGATAATTTAAATTCAAAGCACGTAAAAAACACTGAGAAGTGCGGTATTGGATTCGGCCAGGAAAGGAAAACTTGAGGTAAGCCAATATAAATAAAAGTTTGAGAACTTAAAATAATTTCATCGCAGTCAAACTTTTTTGTTCCTCGGTTTTTGTAATTTTTTGTAATTTGGGTAAAGGTATGATGTATTTATTGTTTTGAATAAAATCAAGTATTTTATGCATGCAGGTATCTATATTTGGCAAATATTGTTACTGCAGATCATTGTGTAGGGTAGAGATAACTAATGAGGTGTTGTAAAATTGCAATTTTTTTTATTATTCCATAGAATGCGTGTAAGACCTGCAGTTTATTATATAAATAAAATACCGAAGTACTATACCTACCACTTTCTTGAGAGCCGTGTGTATTTCTCCTTGGGGTATTTGGTCTTGAAATTGTATTTAATTATTAAATTATATACCTAGTACTTTCTTACTAAATATAGATACGTGTAAGTAAACGAATCATAATAGTTCTTGTCATTAATGAAAGCATTCAATTAATACGCTTTGATTAATACCAAACTATACAAATAAAATGTATTACACTGTACATTGAGTTCGAAGTTAAGCCACTTTTGATGAAGGCTAAATACACGATAATCTGTATTACAGGTAAAAAGCAAAATTACGATTTTATCATTAACATTTCGACCGTATAATATTATTGAAAAGTAAAATATCACAATTATAAAATGTGTAGTCAAAAAGTAGGATATTTAGTTCCTGTTTTTAAAAATTATTTATTTTGATTGTTTTGTTTTTACACTTTAAAAAATTCTTCAATATTTAAGATGGGTATACTGTTATAGTTAGGTACTACACCTAGTGTATTATATTATATTATAATGTATCTCAGAATATATATATGAAATCTTCCTTGATTCTTTTTTAACAAAAAAAAAAATTGATTATTGCAATTTATCTTAAAATATAGATAGGTAGGTACCTAAGTACCTACCTAACCATATAATTTGTATTGTTTAAGCATAGTATAAAAATATATATGATTTTCTATTTAAATTTGTACAAGATATTGGAATGAGTTTTACACCACCGTATATCATATTCACAAAAAATAATAATAATAATAACTACCAGCTATATTATTATATTATTTTCTGAATGAAACAAAACGGTTTGTCATTATGAACTATGGGGAAATAAACTAATATGAAACGACATAGCCGCCGTAAACCATAAAAATGTCTAAAACAAGACAATAACCGGGTCTAATGTCCATTCATTATTTAATATTTTCATATAATATTATTGTTATCTTATCATTCAACGCGATATTGTTTACGATACGGAACACAATTGTGCCGCTGACCAACTAGACCGCCGCTCCCGAAGTCATTTCGGCCTCCCCCCCCAAAAAAAAAATAATATATCACTTCCGCCCAACGTCTTTCTCTTTCTGCGCTATGATCACTATAATATTATACGTTATACCATGTATGCCACTCAGTAGTTTATAGACAATGGATAATGGACATTTAGTCTCCGCCATATGGTTATTGTTTTTCGTTTTAATATATATATATATTTTTTTTAGTTATTATGAACACACAAAAAGGAAAAAAATGAAGACCGACGTTTGTGTTTGTCTCAAGAGTGTGAGTATATATTTTTTTAGGAAACGAATAGAATACATATTTTATTACACTCAGTGTATGCGGTAGGCAGTCGATTTTATCGTTAATGACAACCATAAAAGTCCGCCTACGATATCGATACGAGGTATACGAAGAGAGGGAAAAGACCATAAAAATATTCGAATATTCACAGATAATACCATTCACGTGTTGCACTCAAAACACTGGTCCCAATTAAAATCGTGTCATTCGTTCTTCGAATTTCACTTCTCCCCTACTTCGTTTGCTGGTCTTTTTTTCCGACCGAAACCCATGGTGGAACTTCTGGCGCCTTGCCCACCCCATGTCCTCATAAACATATGTGTGGTCTATTGGAATGGTCTCATATATATTATATTACTTGCAGAAATCTTTTGGTAAGAAAAATGTAAATGCAAATTAAATTCATAACTTCTAAAACTAATTAGCAAAAAGTAACTGTAGGTAATAGAGCTGATGAATAGCGTACTTCCCAGCACATTTCTCGACGACATTAAATAGATTCCATTGACGATACCCAAAAGCAGAAAGTACTTTGTCTTTGATTAAAGTACATACCTAACTATTCAAGGAAGAAAGTTTTTTGTACCTACGTAAAATTATAGACCTTAACCAAATACATACTTTTATATGGACATATGGTGCCTATTAGAATTTACAATTTCTATGCGAGAACATGGTATCTTATATCAAGTCAGTTAGTAGTCACCCACGAATGATAAATATTATTTTAAAATGTCTACTTCTTCTTACTTAAATATACTAAAATAATTCGTTTAATGCGTTATTCGTGTATGGCATTATAATATATTATTCTATACCTTCACTTTAGTTATAAAGTAATGATTTATTTTAAATACTTCTTTAAATTATTTTAATATATGTATAGGAACCTTATATATTTAAGTACTCCTAAATATAAGACACTAATATGGATAATGCTGAATAATGAAAATAACAAGAAATCTAATTTGTATTGAAGAATTATGACATTTTAACAACCACTGCAGCATATTATTATATCTACTATAGTATATAGGTACCTACACTCTACAGTATACAT